CTTTTACACGAGCCGTTGTCTTGCCTGTTAACCAATTAAATTCAGCCGTGCAATGGCACCACGTGGCAAGCGATGACATCACGTGAAAGATGGGAATAATAAGGGAGATTACTAGCTCGGCCTGACATATGACATACGACTTGCTGATCGTTCAAGTTATTGTTGGGCATCACAGTTAATTGCGGCGGGCTTTGGGGGAAAGCCGAAGTTAATGAGGCGTGGATTGATTAGGTGGCGCTACCAACGCGACCACACAGACTCACCGGCTGCTCTCACTGTGGGATCAAATAAAAATCCACACGATTTAACACTGGGGATTGTGGGATTTGGGATAAGGGATAGCGTTAAGTGCCAGGGACGGGGATACAAGGTTAACAGAAATGAGCAATATAAAACATACACATGTAAGTTGATTTTTATATCATACAAGTCTACCAATGCTCCACTTCAAATGTTGGCTATATCATCAATCCCAAAATGGGATATTTCAAATATATGTTATTTAAAAAAAAATTGTTATTTTAAATGTGTCGGATTTTTACAAGCTTTTATTTAACTTGCTTCCCCTTTCGTCAGTCTGTCTGTCTGTCTAGATCGAAACGCCCGTGTGAAATTGCAGGCACTTCTAACTGACAGATATGGTTCGTAGTTGGTACGTGGGTCAAGACATGAAGACAATGCATCGTGACATTCAATTTGACTTAATTGGTCGCCTAATTATTTTTTAATGAATTAATTAGCTATTTATTTCTTTGCTTTGTCACTAATATCGTTCAACGTGTAGTAAAGCACACTGCGCTTTGAGTAATAACTAATTTATAAAAAACATTAAAATATATAGTACTAGAATTCACATATAACGGGTACTGACGGTTAGTAGAATAGAATCGAAAAAAAGGAGTGCGCACAGAAATAGATTTAAAATAATAATCAAAATTTTATGTTTATTTGAGAAATCGGAAATACTGTAAAGTACTATTTCCGGTCAAAATTTGCAGTAATCAAAAGAAGATGTAGTTGCGTTGCAGATAGACGCAAGGGGTAAAAGTTGAACGGGTATTTTTGACAATTACAGGGGTAGTGAAACAATGAAAAGAAAGACAACTACTACCTTGTAATAAGTAACAAAGTGACTCACTTCCTATGTAGCAAGTAAGAGAGTCAATCGTTATCTAAATTAAGAACATAGAAAGACAACTATTACCAATGTAACAAGTAACAAAGACAACTGGTGTGAATGTAACAAGCAACAAAGACAACTGCTACTAATGTAACAAGTAACAAAGACAACTGCTACCAATGTAACAAGTAACAAAGACAACTGCTACCAATGTAAAAAGTAACAAAGACAACTGCTACTAATGAAGCAAGTAACAAAAACCATAACTACATATGTACCAATTAGCAAAGACAACTGCTACCAATGTAACAAGTAACAAAGACAAGTGCTTCTAATGAAACAAGTAACAAAGACCATAGCTACCTATGTAATAAGCAACAAAGACAACTGTTGTGAATGTACCAAGTAACAAAGACCATCGCTACCTATGTACCAAGTAACAAAGACCATCGCTACCAATGTAGCAAGTAGGGCAGACAACTCCCCGTGCAAGAAGTTCTCCAGGATTTATCTCCTCCCCTAACGACGCGTTCTCTACTCGGTTACATCCCTGACCCCTCGTGACCCCGTGTCTAATGGCAAAATGAGGACGTTTAAACACATCGTATTACATTTAACTGCAGCTATTCTAGCTTCTCAGCTATTAGTAGCGCCATCACATGACACGTGATTTCTCAAAGCCGATAGAAATGGCCCGCATAAATATAACAACACTACAAGGTGGGTTGTATCATAGGAGGAGGAAATGGCTGGAAGAATGGAGGCACTTATCGTCTTCCCTGAGAATTCCCAGTTTCCGCCAACTTCAGGAAAAGTTGTAAAAAATTTTATGTCTTATTTTTTAAACAAACTAAGGTTCTTAATTTTTTAAATATTTATTTGCGCTTGTTATAAAGGGTGATAAAATTCTAAATGGGAATATTTATTTCATTTGAAACAAAGTTATGTGATTTTAATTGCGGGCCGAGTAATTAAGTCACATTACGTTGGGCAATGGCGGTGATTTATCTTTTAATTTGAATGTTTTTTTCACAAATATGTTGACTGTAAAACGGTGTTTTTACCGACACGTCACCATGGCACATATATCACCATACCACACGTCATCATGTTACAAAGATCACCAAACATGACATTACGCCACATAAAAAACCCAAATCACATGTCATTATGTTCTATAGATCTAATAATAAATGTTCCTACCATCCTCTTAGATTTAAAGCATGATTGTTCTTACTAATACAATCTAGTTAAATCATGATTGTTCCTATTTCTCCCCATAACATCAAATTGTGATTGTTTGATTTCTTATCACATTTAACAAAATCATAATAATTTTAATTCCTCATCATACATTAAATCATAATAGTTTTTATTTTTCTCCCACAATTAAATCATGATTGTTCCAATTTCTCCCCCACACAATTAAATCATGATTGTTTGTAGCAACTCGAACATAGCTGTACTTGAGTTGATCTAGGGCCGACAACTCTTGAGATTTGTATAAAACTGTTCGTACAATATAGTCGTGATGTCCCCTGGACACGTTGTGACCCACCTGACCCCGAACCCCCCCCCACCTCCCCACGTGGTCACATGATCAAAGGCCCAGGTCAACCCAGCTCAGCTTGTGGTCATTTTAACCACGCCCACACCGAAAAAAACCTCCAATTAGGCGGGCATGTCCACTGTCTAAATAATAGAACTTTGTGTTCGTTTGAAACAACATTTCAGCCTTTTGATAGTCAGGTGTTTATTCATGTCCAGGAATGTTTTTTTTTTTTTGACACATTACGTTCAAGTACATTTTATGATGCTAAACATTTGGTTTGATGGACACATACAGAACATTGGTTTACATTGAGATGCTGTTTTGTTTGTACACTAAGGATGCTGATGATATATTTCTGTCATTTATAGCCAGAAACACCTACACCTTGCTAATGTCATTCTCGCTGTCATCTAGTGCCACACCCAACCTACCTAATGTCATTCTGTATTTCATTTAATGCCACACCAAACCTACCTGCAACCTACCTTATGTCATTCTCTATGTCATCTAGTGCCACACCAAACCTACCTAATGTCATTCTCTATGTCATCTAGTGCCACACCCAACCTACCTAATATCATTCTCTATATCATCTACTGCCACACCAAACCTACCTAATGTCATTCTCTATGTCATTTAGTGCCACACCAAACCTACCTAATGTCATTCTCTGTGTCATCTAGTGCCACACCAAACCTACCTAATGTCATTCTCTATGTCATCTAGTGCCACACCAAACTTACCTAATGTCATTCTCTATGTCATTTAGTGCCACACCAAACCTACCTAATGTCATTCTCTATGTCATTTAGTGCCACACCAAACCTACCTAATGTCATTCTCTATGTCATTTAGTGCCACACCCAACCTACCTAATGTCATTCTCTATGTCATTTAGTGCCACACCAAACCTACCTAATGTCATTCTCTATGTCATTTAGTGCCACATCAAACCTACCTAATATCATTCTCTATATCATCTACTGCCACACCAAACCTACCTAATATCATTCTCTATATCATCTAGTGCCACATCAAACCTACCTAATGTCATTCTCTATGTCATTTAGTGCCACACTAAACCTACCTAATGTCATTCTCTATGTCATCTAGTGCCACACCAAACCTACCTAATATCATTCTCTGTGCCATCTAGTGCCACACCAAACCTACCTAATGTCATTCTCTATGTCATCTAGTGCCACACCCAACCTACCTAATGTCAATCTCTATGTCATCTAGTGCCACACCCAACCTACCTAATGTCAGTCTCTATTTCATCTAGTGCTACACCAAACCTACCTAATGTCATTCTCTATATCATCTAGTGCCACACCAAACCTACCTAATGTCATTCTCTATGTCATCTAGTGCCACACCAAACCTACCTAATGCCATTCTCTATGTCATCTAGTGCCACACCAAACCTAACTAATGCCATTCTCTATGTCATCTAGTGCCACACCAAACCTACCTAATGTCATTCTCTATGTCATCTAGTGCCACACCAAACCTACCTAATGTCATTCTCTATGTCATCTAGTGCCACACCAAACCTACCTAATGTCATTCTCTATGTCATCTAGTGCCACACCAAACCTACCTAATGTCATTCTCTATGTCATCTAGTGCCACACCAAACCTACCTAATGTCATTCTCTATGTCATCTAGTGCCACACCAAACCTACCTAATGTCATTCTCTATGTCATCTAGTGCCACACCAAACCTACCTAATGTCATTCTCTATGTCATCTAGTGCCACACCAAACCTACCTAATGTCATTCTCTATGTCATCTAGTGCCACACCAAACCTACCTAATGTCATTCTCTATGTCATCTAGTGCCACACCAAACCTACCTAATGTCATTTTCTATGTCATCTAGTGCCACACCAAACCTACCTAATGTCATTCTCTATGTCATCTAGTGCCACACCAAACCTACCTAATGTCATTCTCTATGTCATCTAGTGCCACACCAAACCTACCTAATGTCATTCTCTATGTCATCTAGTGCCACACCAAACCTACCTAATGTCATTCTCTATGTCATCTAGTGCCACACCAAACCTACCTAATGTCATTCTCTATGTCATCTAGTGCCACACCAAACCTACCTAATGTCATTCTCTATGTCATCTAGTGCCACACCAAACCTACCTAATGTCATTCTCTATGTCATCTAGTGCCACACCAAACCTACCTAATGTCATTCTCTATGTCATCTAATGCCACACCCAACCTACTTAATGTCATTCTCTATGTCATCTAGTGCCACACAAAACCTACCTGCAACCTACCTAATGTCATTCTCTATGTCATCTAGTGCCACACCAAACCTACCTACACCCCGACAAGCCCCAAGACACCAACACACTAGCGGGGAAGAAAGCCAAGAAACGCCGGAGACACAGGTAGGCTTTTGTTTTAGAGGATTATCTAGGTAGATTTTTGCCTTGGATTATTTTAATAATCTCATGATATTATCTACATAGATGGTCCCTAAAACATATGACGACAGATTAAATTGAATGATTAATGTCGTAAACTTGATAACGATATTAACTCTCTACATCATCTGTATAGCTGACATCTATTATATTTAGAGATTATGTGAATCTTAGATGATATCGTGATTGTTCAATATTATTTTAATACATTCTTTCAATATTATTTACATATTTATGATACTGTTTCAGTATTATTTCAATATATTATTTCAATTTTACTTATTGAATTATTACAATATTATTATTCTTTTAAAAATCAAAACATTATTTCATTAGTTCTACATGACTTCAGTGTGTCACCTGAACAGATAATCTGTCACTAATATTTAAGTAATATCTCTGTATTTCCTTGTTTTCAAATGAATGGTTTGCCTGTGAAGTCCCTATTGGTTAAATGTTTAATGTTCTAGTTCCCTCTATAGCCTATGTCTACCTATCGTCTTACATTGAGCGTGTGTCAGACCCTGTTATCGTTTACATCGATCCAGATTAAAGTACCCTATTATAGAGCGTTTGATTCCTACACGGATAGTGTTGTATGGTCTGTTCATGCAGTATTTCTGTGTTGTGATTGAGTGTGATAGAGAATTTGTCGCATGTGTGAGTGTGTAACAAATAAAGTATGTGTTAATACTTATGTATCTGTGTAATGATTGTGTGTAAGTGAGAAGTCCACTTGTAAAACCTGCTAAGTCACATCTGATTGATTTTGAGGAAATTTTTTTTCTTGTTAACTAACCTTATGATTTTTTTTTTATTTTACTGTTTAGAAATTTATTTTATATTATACCTTTTAGAATTTTTTTTTAGTATTTTGCTTTAAATTGCTACTTAGTTAAAAAAGCTATGACGACGGTAGGAGGCTATGGCCAGGGGTAATGGACCCGGGGTAACGTGCTAGATCTAAAAAAATGTTTCAACATTAATTCAACATTAATTCAACGTTAATTCAACATTAATTCAACATTAATTCAATATTAATTCAACATTAATTCAACATTAATTCAATATTAATTCAACATTAATTCAACATTAATTCAACATTAATTTAACATTAATTCAACATTAATTCAACATTGATTGTTTTCTCTTCTTTTGTACGCAGCATGTAGCCTATTTATTTATATTGTAACATTGTTTCAAGTAAATAGTTTTCTGATCGTTTTAAATCAATCTATTGTCAAGTATTGATTTATTTTTAAAAGTTCAGCTCAAATCAAAAGCCCTCCAACCTGTACCGAATTTATTCTTTGTTCCAAATAAAACACGCACACTTGTATCGTGTTCCAAAGTCGCCTACTTGTATCTGCTGCTGTAAGTAATTCTGTCAGATTTCCTGAGATTGCAGCAATTAATGCTGGCGGGCCAGCGGGAGACGAACTCTGGCATCTTGGTGCCAATCTCGCTCGTCTGCAAATTGTTCATCAGATGACGTAGGTCACCTAACTAGCCCCGGCAATCAATAGGCCAAGTTAATCGTCCGCCTGCAGCCATTTGCTTCAAAGCCGCCTTGTTTCCATCTTCTAGATCCCTCGTTGTTCTAGATCTTAATCTCTCCAAGTTCTAGATCTTAATCCCCCCAAGTTCTAGATTTTAATCCCTCATTGTTCTAGCACTTACACTCTCCGTGTTCTAAAACTTAACCCTTACTTGTTCTAGATCATAATGCCTCCAAGTTCTAGATATTAACCCCTTGTTCTTCTAGCTCTTACACTCTCCGTGTTTCTTTATCCCTCCTTGTTCTAGATCTTAATAACCCCCATGTTCTAGATCTTAATACCTCATTATTATAGAACTTAACCCCTCATTGTTCTAGATTTTAATCCCCCATTGTTATAGATCTTAATCCCTCATTGTTCAAGATCTTAATCCCTCATTGTTCTAGACCTTAATCCCTCATTGTTCTAGACCTTAATCCCTCATTGTTCTAGATCTTGCTCCTGCTCCCCCATCCTCCTCTCTATACTTATCCCTACAACGAACAAACTTTTAGCCCGCTACCCATCAGCCTAACAATAAATAATTAGTGGAAGATATTTCACTGTCTTAGAGCCACGTGACCTCCTTAACGACAGTCCCAGACAATAATTAGTAGGCTCGATGGCGAGGGATGTTAAAGTCTCGCGTCTTTTGTTTTGTGTCTTGTGTCTTGTGTCTCGTGTCTTTTGTTTCGTGTCTCGTGTTTTTTGTTTCGTGTCTCGTGTCTCGTGTCTTTTGTTTTGTGTCTCGTGTCTTGTGTCTTTTGTTTCGTGTCTCGTGTCTTGTGTCTCGTGTCTTTTGTTTCGCGTCTCGTGTCTTGTGTCTTTTGTTTCGTGTCTCGTGTCTTTTGTTTCGTGTCTCGTGTTTTTTGTTTCGTTTCTCGTGTCTCGTGTCTTTTGTTTTGTGTCTCGTGTCTTGTGTCTTTTGTTTCGTGTCTCGTGTCTTGTGTCTTTTGTTTCGTGTCTCGTGTCTCGTGTCTTTTGTTTCGTGTCTCGTGTCTTGTGTCTTTTGTTTCGTGTCTCGTGTCTTGTGTCTTTTGTTTCGTGTCTTGTGTCTTTTGTTTTGTGTCTTGTGTCTCGTGTCTTTTGTTTTGTGTCTTGTGTCTCGTGTCTTTTGTTTCGTGTCTCGTGTCTTTTGTTTTGTGTCTTGTGTCTTTTGTCTTATGCTTTGTGTCTTGTTCCCTCTGTCCTGTGTCTAGACTTCTTGTGCCACGTGACTTAGGCCTCATGTATTGCCACATCATCAATTCATCAGTTCACTAACAAATCTTTCTAAATCCTAATAGTTTTAGATTGACATGAAACAAGGATTTTATTCATTGTAGAAATAATTATTAATTAATAATGTTAATTAATACATATTAATGAATTCTTTTTAACTGTTAATTTTTGCAAAAACCGGCCCTAAATTAAAAAGAGAATTGGTTTTGAGAATTTTTTTTCCTTTGGTAAACCTAACCCCAGCACGTCAGTGTTATATACTGTAGCTACCTCAAGGATCTTTGCTTATTTCAGATAAAAAAGATCTTTAGTTACCTTTATCTTCACAACCATTTTTAATAATCTGTTTTTACAGATATCTTTAGTTATCTCTCTAACCACAAAGATCTTCATGTATTTAGTATCACAAAGATCTTGAGTTATCTCGATCATTAGATAGATCTTTAGTTACTGCTTCCATCCAAATTTAATTATCTCTTTAACCACATATATTTTCAGTCTTCACAGATATCTTTAGTTTCCTCTAACCATTAAGATCTTCATTTATTTCTCATCACAAAGATCTTTGGTCATCCCTAGAATAAAATATTTATTTTTACGCCAAAAAAGATCTTTAGTTTCATCTAATCATAAAGATCTTCATTTACTCCTCATCTTAAAGATCTATAGTTATCTCTAACTATAAAGATCTTTTTTTCATATCAAAGATCTTTAGTTAGTTCTCTCTAACCACAAAGATCATCAGTTACCTACCAGATCCTCCAAGAATCACATGACAACAACCAAATCAGCCCCCAGCAAACAATTGAAAACGATCGTATTGTTTTCTAATTGAACCAGTCGCCATTTGATTGATTGCTGCCAACGATCCCCCCAGTGATGCTGCTTGCCTACTATATTGGCTGCCTTACGCTTATAATTCTTACCTACCGCCCCCAGTCCTCATCTTCCTATCGATAAATCATAAAGCTATAATGGGATCAAGGGACAACAACTGTAATCACAGGACCGGTAACTCGCGTCGAGTTATTCCTATCGACAAATTACACTTATCTCCCCTTAACGACCGGTTCGTGCGTGACGGTTCTCTCCCTTGGTAAATGAAATCTTTGGTAATATTCCACTTGTCAATTTATCGAAATAAATATATCAACAAGACTATTGTCAAACTTTTCGTGATACAACCTACGCCCCCCCTCCTTTATCTATCGATATCGAGAGTACCAGCACACCGACAACACAAAAATATTACCCCCACCTACCTACCCCATATATCCCCCCCCCCCCCCATCGAAATCGTGCATTACGATTGAGCCTGGCCCGACGTTAACCTAACCTTAACGATCCTCTGACAGTAACTAACGTTTTCTATCGGCCTCCTATGGATCCGCTAATTTCACCAAATCGTTGCCAGAGTTTTACGATCAGACTCAATTACATTTGTAATGGTTCACTTTTTCTTTACGTCGTACCGTAGGAAAACAGTTCCAATACGTTGCCCGTTGCTGTCTGTATTGTGTGCTGTCGTTGCTATCAGGGGCGGAACTACCGACAGATCCTTGGAGGGGTGTGTGGAGAGGGGGGGGACTCCAACCCTAAAATAACGATGTTTTTTCTAAAAAAATTGTTTCGTACACCTTGATAGTTAAAAAAAAACAGCAACAAATCTACTACAGCAGTGATAGTAGTGTATGAACTAAGACAGCCTGTTGCACAGTAGAAAACAAAGTCCATGAGCTGTGAAAGATAGCCAAACGTTCAAATTACTTCATGTCTTATTGCTATTCTTTAAATAGTCTATAAGTTGCATTTAAATCGCATTTAAGTAGTTTTGTACTAAGTTAATTAAAAAGCAATTACTTCTCTTAATTATTATTTAAATGCGATATAGCCTATTAAAAAACATAGCTCTAAGAAGGAATGTATTCAAAATTTATAATATAAATTAAAAAGTAACAGTGATAAAATAAACACAAGTGTGTATAATAATGACCGGCTTACCAGATATGACGTTGCATTTTCAATGAGATACACACATTTTTAAAACTCGATTATTTTGATGAGTTTGGGCATATTTTGTGTCTAACAATGAAATAGATTAAATTACCAAATTTGGAAATTAGTGCACTGTAAATATATATATATATATATATATATATATATATATATATATATATATATATATATATATATATATATATATATATATATATATATATATATATATATATATATATATATATATATATATATATATATATATATAAAGGGGGTGGCTTTTATTTCTCTGGTCTCTATATGTCTCACATGTTGTTGTTGTTGTTGTGTCTCCTGTTATTTCCTCATGTCACGACAGCTAACGGAGAAACGACCTTGGGGTTAACGTGAGATTTGACGTGACCAATGTCACCACTGACATTTGACGTGATATGTTTGTCATTACTTGGTTTGTGGGGCTGTCAGTGTCTGTCGTCAATAAGCCGGTTTGTTTGTTGTCAAGATTTTATCAGTAAAAATCTACTCAGTAGCTAATTGGTGATTTCATTCTGTCAGGAATTTAATAGTGACGTCACTCATTGATATATAGTGACGCCACTAGTTTACCAGTGACGCTACTGTTTCATTGAATAAAAACCGTATTTACTCTTGTCCGATTCTCTATAAACTGAAGATAATCTTTCTACCACCACCACCACCACCACCACCACCACCACCACCACAACCACACAGTCTCCCCCCACACCCACCCGAGACATCATCCTCTGCCCATCGTGAGCACGAGCAACCCGAGAACGAGGCGGGCACGTGCAGCTAGCCGCTCGTAGCACGCGCTGCTGGATGCGTGGCAGTGTCTCTGCCCAAATTAGGTCCGAAATTGGCCCAATTATAATCTTGCTTTCATCGGAGGAAGGGCCACTAATTATAGCATTAGCAGTTACAGTGAAAACTATTGGTCCAGTCGTCGGGGGTGGGGGAGGGGGGTGAGTGCTTCATTAGCCAGACAAGAAGGTCAATTGTCTGTCTGCTGATTTGTCTGTCTGAAGTTCTGTTGTTTTCTTTATTTGGTGTCAAGTGTTGGATTATTATCACTTCCGGTTTCCACATTGTCCCCCATTACAACTCTCTTTCTCTCTTTCGCTCTCGCGCACACACATACACGAACACACACACACATACACACACACACACACTACCTGTTTCTTTTTATAGATTTTTGAGAGCTTTAAAATTAACATTTTTTTAATTAAAAAAAAAAAGGTTATTCAAATGAAATACATTATTCACACATAATATATTTTTCTATTGTGTTACGTTAAGATATTTCCATATGTAGGTTATGATTTTAAAATCGTATAAAATGTCATTTGAATCTAGAGAAAATGTCGTGTAAATCTAGAGAAAATGTCATACTATTGCCGTCCTGCATGTCTACTGTGTCCTTGTTGAGAATGTCATGTCATATGTCAGTGTACCAGCCCGTCATGACACAACCACTGACGCTCTGAACGCCCTCCCCAGGACCATCTTCACCAGCTACCAGCTAGAGGAGCTGGAGAAAGCCTTCAAGGACGCTCACTACCCGGACCTGTACGCCAGGGAACTGCTCGCCCTCAAGATTGATCTGCCAGAGGACAGGATTCAGGTTGGTCAAAATATCGCCGGCATCCTCAGCTCAATTTAAACAATAATTGTTCTCACTCGCACATACCTACCTACCCCCTCACCCTCACACATACCTCCCCAACACCTAACCCCCTCACACCTACCCCCTCACCCTCACACATACCTCACCTCACACCTAACCCTCACCCTCACACATACCTACCTACCCCCCTCACCCTCCCACATACCTCCCCTCACACCTACCCCCTCACCCTCACACATATCTACCTACCCCCCTCACACTCACTCATACCTCCCCTCACACCTAACCCCTCACACCTACCCTCTCACCCTCACACATACCTACCTACCCCCTCACACTCGCTCATACCTCCCCTCACACCTAACCCCTCACACCTACCCCTCACCCTCACACATACCTACCCCCTCACACTAGCTCATACCTCTCCTCACACCTAACCCCTCACCCTCACACATACCTACCCCCTCACACTCACTTATACCTCCCCTCACACCTAACCCCTCACACCTACCCCCTCACCCTCACACATACCTACCTACCCCCCTCACACTCGCTCATACCTCCCCTCACACATACCCCCCTCACACCTACTCCATCACCCTCACACATACCTACCCCCTCACACTCGCACATTCCTCCCCTCACACCTACCCTCTCACCCTCACACATACCTACCTACCCCCTCACACTCGCTCATACCTATCTCACACCTAACCCCTCACACCTACCCCCTCACCCTCACACATACCTACCTACCCCCCTCACACTCGCTCATACCTCCCCTCTCACCTAACCCCTCACACCTAACCCCTCACCCTCACACATACCTACCTACCCTCTCACCCGCACACATACCTCACCTCACACCTACCCCCTCACCTCCCAACCCCCAATCTTAAAGTGAGCACAACACGTGCAGCTAAACCTATAAGATAGCACGAGCGAGCTAATTGTTTTTAAACGACCAACCATCCCAGCTTCCTTTGTTTTTTCAACCTGTCGGCTATTTGGGCGTGGTGTTTTTCCGGGGATGTTTTCCGTGGGCTGTTGTTGCTCGGTTGTCTCCGGAAGTTGTCGGCGGTAAACAGTTTGCTTGGAACAATTCCTGCGCGGAATGACGTGGAAATCAGAGCTGGCCCCAGCTGATCTGGGCGGAAAACATGGGATGGCGAGGTCTATTGATAGCTCACACCTGACCTTTGAACCGGGGGTAGATGAAAGAGCACGCGCCAAGGTGTTTGTGTGCGGAGTAGCCAGGTTTTTGGTGGCAGTTGATGAAATTCTAGAAGATGTTATGGCTCGCTAAAAACAATGCTCTATGTGTTTGGTTAGTAGTTTTCAATATTTGCAGGGGCTAGTTGATCGCATCCTAAAAACAAATTTTACATAAAATATAAAGTAAGACACATATTCCAAGATCTAGATTGTTTGAAATCGGCGACATTAAAAAAAAAATCTCCACTGTTTTTGAACGAAATAGAGATTATATAATATCTAATAGTTATAAAATAATTGCTTTACGTCAGATATCCCGGGGGGTAATGTCGGTATCTGCCAGTATCTGCAAGCTTTGTTTTCGATCGATTTAAATATTATTTGTAGACAGTTACAGAAGACACAATGAAATCTATTGACTGCTGGAAAATTTCAGTGGTTAAAACTTGTCGGTTACATAACTTGGAATGTGGATGTTTGATCGTTATCTCTCAATGGTTGTGATCGCCCAACAATAATATCTGGTGCTCACGATTCAACAATTATTTTACCAAACGATTATTGTTTTACATCCAACATTTGTCTTAACATTCAACTTTTTTTACTATTAAATAATTTTTAAAAATCCAACAACTTTCTTAAATCCAACAATTGTATTATTGTCCAATAAAGTGCGCGTCATCTAACAAACTCTCGTACAGCAAAAACATAGACGCAACATTTTACAAACTAAAGCATCCTTACATAAATGCAAACAACATCCGACAAATTAACGCACCATCCCACAAACTAACTAATTATTCCACAAACTAACGCACCATCCGACCAACTGACGCACCATCCGACAAACTGACGCACCATCCCACACACTAACCCACCATCCGACCAACTGACGCATCATCCGACAAACTGACGCACCATCCCACAAACTAACACACCATCCCAAAAAACAAGCGCACTACCCTTCAAACTAACGCAGCATCCAACAAGATAACGCACCATCCGTCAAACTAACGCACCATCCCACCAACTAACACAACATCCGGCAAACTAGCGCACCATCCGACAAACTAACGAACCATCCGACCAACTGACACATCATCCCACACACTAACCCACCATCCGACCAAATGACGCATCATCCGACCAAATGACGCACCATCCGACCAACTGACGCATCATCCCACACACTAACCCACCATCCTATCAAATGACGCACCATCCGACTAACTGACGCACCATCCGACCAACTGACGCACCATCCGACCAACTGACCCACCATCCGACCAAATGACGCACCATCCGACCAACTGACGCACCATCCGACCAACTGACGCACCATCCGACCAACTGACGCACCATCCGACCAACTGACGCACCACCCCACCAACTGACGCACCACCCCACCAACTGACGCACCACCCCACCAACTGACGCACCACCCCACCAACTGACGCACCACCCCACCAACTGACGCACCATCCGACCAACTGACGCACCATCCGACTAACTGACGCATCATCCGACCAACTGACGCACCATCCGACCAACTGACGCACCACCCCACCAACTGACGCACCACCCCACCAACTGACGCACCACCCCACCAACTGACGCACCACCCCACCAACTGACGCACCACCCCACCAACTGACGCACCATCCGACCAACTGACGCACCATCCGACTAACTGACGCATCATCCGACCAACTGACGCACCACCCCACCAACTGACGCACCACCCCACCAACTGACGCACCACCCCACCAACTGACGCACCACCCCACCAACTGACGCACCATCCGACCAACTGACGCACCATCCGACTAACTGACGCATCATCCGACCAACTGACGCACCACCCCACCAACTGACGCACCACCCCACCAACTGACGCACCATCCGACCAACTGACGTACCATCCGACTAACTGACGCATCATCCGACCAACTGACGCACCACCCCACCAACTGACGCACCATCCGACCAACTGACGCACCACCCCACCAACTGACGCACCATCCGACCAACTGACGCACCATCCGACTAACTGACGCATCATCCGACCAACTGACGCACCACCCCACCAACTGACGCATCATCCGACCAACTGACGCACCACCCCACCAACTGACGCACCACCCCACCAACTGACGCACCATCCGACCAACTGACGCACCATCCGACTAACTGACGCATCATCCGACCAACTGACGCACCACCCCACCAACTGACGCACCACCCCACCAACTGACGCACCACCCCACCAACTGACGCACCACCCCACCAACTGACGCACCATCCGACCAACTGACGCACCATCCGACTAACTGACGCATCATCCGACCAACTGACGCACCACCCCACCAACTGACGCACCATCCGACCAACTAGCGCACCATCCCACACACTAAACCACCACCAATCACACGCCACAGATCGTCACGAGCCACCAATTTTCTCAATAAAAAATTGAATTTAAATTGCATGTGATCGTTGTTACAATTGCGCCAAATATTTACAGCTAGCAACCGACGATATCGAAAGTGTTTTAACATTTTCAACTCACGCGCATCTGATCCACAACCCCAGGGGCGTCTCCCCGACCGTCACGATCACCGAAAACAATCGTTCGATTCTACCTCGATGCGGCCACTTCGCTAGAACATTAACCCAAATTTATTGGCGGCCACCGGTTGACGAATGGCTTTCCAGAACGATAACTCCGCCGTTAAAATATCGCAAAACGAAGCCACAACAATCGGGGAATCCCGTTGAGTTTGATTACAAATCTAGGAAATCGATTCGCTCAGATAGATGGAAACTTTACTTAAATACTGTCACGCTCTAGCCCCTCCCTACTTTCACCCCCTCCCCCCCCTCTTCCTCCCAAGGCCGAGGTAAATTCCGAGCTGAATATTTAAGCGTTTTTTCCTCTGGTCTAAATCAAGCCAATTGTGCAATATGTAAAGCATTATTACCCCGGCAGTACGGGCAAGGAGCCGGCCATAACCGCTGTAGTGGCAGGGAACCTTAGAAGCGACAAGGTGAAATCCATGCACTAATGCCCGCTCTGGCATTCATCCTGTGCTGGGAGAGCCAGACGCTGGCAGTGAGCAGGAACAATTAGTAATTAACTCCAGCCTGATGGAGGCACTGACTGGTTGGGGGGGGGGGGGGGGGATGTGGGAGTAAGTCAGATGTTTCAGGTGATGGTTAGGGGGGGGGGGGGGGGCATTCGATGGTGAAGTGATGTGGGTGGCGTTTTAGGTGGTTTATCAGCAAAGGAAAAGTGGTGTTTAAAAGGGGGGGGGTATAAGTAGCAATAGGTACATTAAGCTGGATTTAGGATATGATGAGGGTACAATTATAAGTTAGGATAGATAATTAGGCTTGGAGGGTGGGAGCCAGGGAGGTGATCCCTGTTAGATTATTGTTAGATCTCTGTTTGATAACTGCGGGGCGGGGGAGGGGTTGGTGGTGGTGGGGGATGATCTCTGTTAGATGTCATTACAGGAGAATGGGTGAGGGGGAGGGGCGGTAATCCCTATTAGATGTCATTACAGGAGAATAGGTGAGGGGAGGGGCGGTAATCCCTGTTAGATGTTATTTACACAGGTGGTTGTAAGGTCGGTTTCTATTTTTAGCTTTTTTTTTTTTCAAATTTCTTTTCTATTATTGAGTTATTCTATAAAATGAAGAGTTATTGCTCTTATTAATTTCACCATTAGATTGCACTAAAAAAAAATATTAAAAACAAACAATAATTGGCATTAAGTTTTCGCGAGATTTGACGAGATTTCACGCCAAATTAGACTTTATGCATCACGATACTAAATTGTAAAAGCCAACTCAAGAGTTCACGCGTGGTGTATGACAAGACGTGACCGCACGACTGGAGCGATTTCAGCCCCAATCGAATTAGGAATGTCCTGACATTGAATGGTGGCCGCCGTGATAGTTTTCTAATAGCTTTCCGTCGGCCGGTTTGACATAAAAACCAATCATTAAAATAAATACCAGAGCATGGTGATGTTGTAATCAGAGCAAGTCTCGCCCACTCCACGCGAGAGTTGCGCTAAACGGGAGCCAATATATCCCCGCTACGTAACAGTTAATCAAGCATCCGCCGCTAGCGAAAATTGATAGCCTCCCACTTCGATGGCCGCCTCCCACTTTCAACCAATCAGCGTAGATTTCCTCACCTAATTGGTCAAGTAGACACTCAGTGCTTGACCCCTGACCTCCATTATTCGGAAAATGATTGGTCTCCCGCTGATAAATCTAGCCAGATTTTTGTGAAAGCGAATGAAATATGGCAGTCGGCCCCCCGCTAATCGAGTTAGGCGCCGATGTCTATAGGCGCTTGAGCAGCTCCAATTTCAGATCCGGCTCATGCCGGTACTAATTGGATCCGTAGAGCCAGCTTAAGTATCGATTCTCATTTTAGAAGGCTAGAACAACGATTGGATTTGACGGCATCGATATATTAACTTTTTTTTTTCTGCTCCACAGAAACCGCGGATTCCGAGCTCTTTTTTTCCCCTTACTTATTAGCACTTTCCGTTTTAAAGAAGAAAAAACAACGATATTTTTATTTAAGCTAAAGTAAACGATATTTAATATAAGCTAAAGTAAACGATATTTTATATAAGCACGGATTTTTATATAAGCTGTAGTAAACGATATATTACATAAGCTTTAGAAATCGACGAATGTTCTCGGTAGTTGGAGATAAACAATGAGTATAACTGGGGTACTAGGTCTAATTTTTGCCATCATCTAGAGGACATAATATCAACATAAATGCAACAATTCAATGATAGCAACACGTTCTCTCAGCTAAATAACCGCGACATCAAACGATGGCTAGACGTTTGATTAGCTAAATAGATCAAGAGTTCATGAAAGTGACAAACGTTGAAAAATTAAGTACTTTAACCACACGTTACAAACCAAAAATACTTCAACATTGGGCTGGGAATAAAGATCCCAAAGTTTGTGGGGTCTGTAACTAAAGATCCCAAAGTTTATGGGGTCTGTGACTAAAGATCCTAAAGTTTGTGGGGTCTGTGACTTAAGATCCCAAAGTTTGTGGGGTCTGTGAGTAAAGATCCCAAAGTTTGTGGGGTCTGTGACTAAAGATCCCAAAGTTTGTGGGGTCTGTGACTAAAGATCCCAAAGTTTGTGGGGTCTGTGACTAAAGATCCCAAAGTTTGTGGGGTCTGTGACTAAAGATCCCAAAGTTTGTGGGGTCTGTGAGTAAAGATCCCAAAGTTTGTGGGGTCTGTGAGTAAAGATCCCAAAGTTTGTGGGGTCTGTGACTAAAGATCCCAAAGTTTGTGGGGTCTGTGAGTAAAGATCCCAAAGTTTGTGGGGTCTGTGAGTAAAGATCCCAAAGTTCGTGGGGTTTTTGACTAAAGATCACAAAGCTTCTGCTGAGTTTTTTGTTTGTAAAATCAAACATTGAGCATAACATGTAGTTAATAAATTAGTTAAACCTCTAATTTAGCACGAGATTTAATTAAACCTCTAATTTGCCTGATAACTCCGGCAGCAAACATGCTACTAGCAAACAACGTGAAAGTAAAAAAAAAAATGAAAGTTTGCATAAATCGTCCCAGAAAACAAATCTACCAATCAGGTTGTGGGTGGTGATTGAATCGATAGCCACTGATTGTCATCCGTTCAATTAACGTTCATTTGGCCTGATCGCGTCACCATGCGAACGGGCTATCAAAGGGACGCAATTGAACAAAACAAATGATTAAATTAATGAGTAATGCCCTTGTTATCAGCTGAGCTGCAGTTTATGATGGGACGCAATTATCTCCCCTGTGTTCTCCACGTTCGATCGTGAATCATAGGGTGGTACGTTTAACCCGTCTGGTCCTGAAGTCTTTAGTGGCATAGTTAACAGAGAGTTAACAGAGAGTTAACATTTCTACCTGTGTTGTTGCTATCGTCATGGGTGTCAGTTTATTAGTCTAGTCCTGGTTTAACTTGCTCACCCTAAACCCAAAACGACCTAGCCCAAAGGCACCTAACCTATACCCACCAAACCCAAAACCAACTAACCTATACCCACCTAACCCAAAACCACCTAACCCAAAACCACCTAACCTATACCCACCTAACCCAATACCACCTAACACAAAAAACCTAACTCAAAGCCATCTAACCCAAAACTATCTAACCCATACACACATATGACCTAATCCATACCTACCTATACCCACCTAGCTCAAAACCAACTAACCCATACCCACCTAGCCCATACCTAACTAACCCACACCCAACTAACCCAAAACCACCTAACCCATACCTACTTAACCCCACATCTACCTATATCCACAGGTGTGGTTCCAGAACCGCCGTGCCAAGTGGAGAAAGACAGAGAAGACCTGGGGCAAGAGTTCCATCATGGCGGAGTACGGCCTGTACGGTGCCATGGTCAGACACGCCTTGCCCCTCCCTGACGCCATCGTCAAGAGTGCGGAGAAAGGCATCGAGCATTCAGCGGCGCCCTGGCTGTTAGGTAAGGTCAAGGCCACCATAAACCAATGGTGCTAGAGCAAAAATACAGACACGACATTTATTACACACTAGATGCAAAGACATGTTGTGTTCACTAAAGGGAGCTCAAACTTAAAAAAAAAAAATCACTATAGGATTTTAATAGGTAAGGGGAGATAACACCAAATATTAAGACGCCGTTGAAATAGAAGGGGAAGTAACTTTAAAAATTATTATTGAAATGTTGTAAAAGGGGAGTAATGCAAATTATAATCTATCATCAATCAATTAGGATTTAATATAAAATAATTTAAACAACCATTGAAATATAAGGGAAAACAACTTTTTTAAAAACTATTTTAAAAATACAAATATAATTAAAGGGAATAATTTTACATTTAACCTATCACCAATCTAATAGGCACATATTGGTGAATTAATTTAGCCAACTGCATAAATAATTATAAATATAACATGTACCTCCTATTGTTCCAGGTATGCACAAGAAATCTCTAGAAGCCTCCAAGAAAATGAGCGAGGAGGACAGCGACCTGTCCGGGAACGAGACCGGCCCAGACGGCAAGGGTCGGGTGAAGGAGGAGCGGAAGTCTGAGAGCATCGCCACCCTGCGGGCCAAGGCCCAGGAGCACAGCGCCAAGGTGCTACAGGCCCTACAGAAGGAGGAGGAGATGCTCTACTGCGACAGGAGGGACAACATGGCACAGAAGCGGCACGAGATGGTGGACAACTTTTCCAGGGGCGTCGTCATGTGTTAGGTCCAGGGGCGTCGTCATGTGTTAGGTCACTTCTCCAGGTGCGTCGTCATGCGTAAGGTCCAGGGGCGTCGTCATGTGTTAGGTCACTTCTCCAGGGGCGCCGTCATGTGTTAGGTCACTTCTCCCAGGGCGTCATGTGTTAGGTCCAGGGGCGTCATCATGTGTTAGGTCCAGGGGCGTCGTCATGTGTTAGGTCATTTATCCAGGGGCGTCGTCTTGTATTAGGTCACTTCTCCAGGGGTGTCGTCATGTGGTAGATCACTTCTCCAGGGGCATGTCATGTGTTAGGTCTATCACTGGGCTTGATTAAATCCCCAGGGGGTGGGGGTCGTCAATGCTCCCCTAGGGCTGTAAACAAAAGCCACTATAGAACGATGCGATGCTCAAGGCCGGGCAGATTTCCTCTAACAGACTGCAAGCGACCTCTACACATGTCATCCCCCCCGCCCCCACCCCCCCCCCCCCCTCTGACAGAAGTTGGCCCGACCTACACAGTAAAGTTCTGGGGATGTAAAAATGTAAAAATCCTGTCTCACCTAAGGACAATGGTAAAAATGACATAACAGAGTTAGTTAAACAATGTGCCCGTGACAATAGAAAGCTGGGCACTATCTACTCGATAGTTGTGCCCACTACAATACAAAGTTGGGCACTATCTACTCGAGAGTTGTGCCCACTACAATAGAAAGTTGGGCACTATCTACTCGATAGTTGTGCCCACTACAATACAAAGTTGGGCACTATCTACTCGATAGTTGTGCCCACTACAATAGAAAGTTGGGCACTATCTACTCGATAGTTGTGCCCACTACAATAGAAAGTTGGGCACTATCTACTCGATAGTTGTGCCCACTACAATACAAAGTTGGGCACTATCTACTCGATAGTTGTGCCCACTACAATACAAAGTTGGGCACTATCTACTCGATAGTTGTGCCCACTACAATACAAAGTTGGGAATTATCTACTCAAGAAATGTGCCCATGACAATAAAAATCCGGGAACTATCTAATGAATAAATGTGCCCATGACAATAGAAGTGTCAGCACTATGTACTCAAAAAATGTGCCCATGACACCCGAAATTTGGGTACCATCTAAGGAAGAAATATGCCCATGACACCAGAAATCTGGGTACCATCTAAGGAAGAAATGTGCCCATGACAATAGAACGCTGGGCACCCTGTGCATAATTCTAGGAATCCTCTGTAAATATTGAATGTTTAATATGACGGTTGCTATACATTTAATATGAAGTTTGTATACATTGATGTATTTTTTATGCTTTATAACACCGATCTATTTTTTAATATGCTAAATGTTTTTTGTAAATATGTTTTAAATTTCCTTTTAAAATTAAAAACTTTACGTCATAATTACCCTGACACATGAAACAACACCTTGCACGCCAAATCAACGTCCAACCCCACCCTCCCCATACACACTGGGGATTATGAGAGCAACAACCCCCCCCCCCCTACCCCCCCACACACACACACACGATGAAGATTATGAAAGTCACCCCCCCACACACACACACACATACGATGACTATTATGACATTAACAAACTCCTCCCTCCCCATTCCCCCCCCCTCCACCCCCCCCCCCACACACATTGACGATTATGAGAGCAAAAATCTCTCCACACGATTTCTCTCCTGTGTGCTCACACTGCACCCCCTCAAGAATATTCCTGTAAACAATGTTTGTGTCGTCAACATTTGAGGTGTCCGCCACAGGTCATGCAAGCTAAACTGAATGGTTTATTAACAAAATAAGTTCTCTCCAAAACTCTGGGAGGTAACTGGCACTGAAACTATGGTTTTTTTGTGGAATTATATTTCCATGTTTTGCATAAAGCTGGTACCAGCTGTCAAACACAAAGTCAAGTCACTCGAATGCAAACATCAAACAAAACACGCTTAAGTCAAGTCACCTGAATGCAAACATCAAACAAAACACGCTTAAGTCAAGTCACTCGAATGCAAACATCAAACAAAACACGCTTAAGTCAAGTCACCTGAATGCCAACATCAAACAAAACACGCTTAAGTCAAGTCACCTGGATGCAAACATCAAACAAAACACGCTTAAGTCAAGTCACCTGAATGCAAACATCAAACAAAACACGCTTAAGTCAAGTGTCTTGAATGCAAACATCAAACAAAACACGCTTAAGTCAAGTGTCTTGAATGCAAACATCAAACAAAACACGCTTAAGTCAAGTTACACGAATGCAAACATCAAACAAAACACGCTTAAGTCAAGTCACACGAATGCAAACATCAAACAAAACACGCTTAAGTCAAGTCACCTGAAAGCAAACATCAAACAAAACACGCTTAAGTCAAGTCACACGAATGCCAACATCAAACAAAACACGCTTAAGTCAAGTGACTTGAATGCAAACATCAAACAAAACACGCTTAAGTCAAGTCACCTGAATGCAAACATCAAACAAAACACGCTTAAGTCAAGTGTCTTGAATGCAAACATCAAACAAAACACGCTTAAGTCAAGGCACTCGAATGCCAACATCAAACAAAACACGCTTAAGTCAAGTCACACGAATGCAAACATCAAACAAAACACGCTTAAGTCAAGTCACCCGAATGCAAACATCAAACAAAACACGCTTAAGTCAAGTCACACGAATGTAAACATCAAACTAAACACGCTTAAGTCAAGTCAATCGAATGCAAGCATCAAACAAAACACGCTTAAGTCAAGTCACACGAATGCAAACATCAAACAAAACACGCTTAAGTCAAGTGTCTTGAATGCAAACATCAAACAAAACACGCTTAAGTCAAGTCACACGAATGTAAACATCAAACTAAACACGCTTAAGTCAAGTCAATCGAATGCAAACATCAAACAAAACACGCTTAAGTCAAGTCACACGAATGCAAACATCAAACAAAACACGCTTAAGTCAAGGCACCTGAATGCAAACATCAAACAAAACACGTTGAAGACATTGTGTTTTGTATTGAGTCTGTTCACACTGGGGTAATAGTAGGACTTTGGGTCAATGGGTCTATGGGTCTAAGGGTCTATGGGTCTAAGGGTCTAAAGGTCTATGGGTTTATAGGTCTATGGGTCTAAGGGTCTAAAGGTCTATGGGTTTATAGGTCTATGGGTCTAAGTGTCGATGAGTCTATGGGTCTAAGGGTCAATGAGTAAGGGTCAATTGGTCTAAGGGTCAATGAGTCTAAGGGTCTATGAGTCTAAGTGTCAATGGGTTTTAGGGTCTATGGGTCTATAGGTCTAAAGGTCTATGTATCGGTCTAAGGTCTATGGATCTATGAGTCTATGGGTTATCTGAATCAAGGGACTGGGATGACCCAATGACTAGGCTATGTACCATAACAGTATGTGGATTTGAACTGTTCCCGTCTTGACATACCAAACAAGCAGAGCTACTGAACTCGATGTCATTACGTTTTTAATTAATAATTTTAATTAATATATGCAACATATGGATCGGTTATTGGAGAAATGAAGTGAAAGTAAGAAAGGAGTTATAAATAGAAACTGGCTTACAGTTGAGAGGAAAATACTATTTTCTGCAGAAGCCATTCTGATCTAACTCCCTTATTGAGATAGCAGTGTTTTAGATTGGTATATCTACACGCAGTTTATATTTGTTGTTTTTTTTTTCGCCTTCTCTATTTCATTATTGTGATGTTTATAACTTATTACATTGTAGGTGAATGTCAGTACACATTCACCAAGTCTTAACATTTTATTTGATGTCAAGTTCACTATGTAACAAAATGACAAAAAAATGTCACGAAATATCACAAATATTCCCATAATGTAATTATCTAAAATGTAACAAAAGTTCACACAAAAAAAATCATCACATCACAAAATGCCAAAAATGTAACAACATCACAATTTGTTCACATTCTTGTTTCATCACTTTCAATCTGTCATTGTAATGACGTCATGTTCATGTGGTGATGAGTGAGGTGGGAGGCGAGTGGCACATAAAAACATGAACATTTGGTAATAAAGTATTGATTGACTCATTTGTTGCTTTAGTTCATTCATCGTTGTCATTTTGTCATTTTGTCCTCCTTGTCATCTGTGTCATTTTGTCATCTGTTATGTTTGTCATCTTTGTCATCTTTGTCATTTTGTTATGTTTGTCATCTTTGTCATCTTTGTCATCTTTGTCATCTATGTCATCTTTGTCATCTTTGTCATCTTTGTCATCTTTGTCATCTTTGTCATCTTTGTCATCTTTGTCATCTTTGTCATCTTTGTCATCTTTGTCATCTTTGTCATCTTTGTCATCTTTGTCATCTTTGTCATCTTTGTCATCTTTTTCATCTTTGTTATCTTTGTCATCTTTGTCATCTTTGTCATCTTTTTTATCTTTGTTATCTTTGTCATCTTTGTCATCTTTGTCATCTTTTTTATCTTTGTTATCTTTGTCATCTTTGTCATCTTTGTCATCTTTTTTATCTTTGTCATCTTTGTCATCTTTGTTATCTTTGATATGATGGTGAGGCAGTTTGATATGACAGTGAGGTAGTTTGATATGACAGTGAGGTAGTTTGATATGGCAGTGAGGCAGTTTGATATGACGGTGAGATATGTTGATATGACAGTGAGGTAGTTTGATATGACGTTGAGGTAGTTTGATATGGCAGTGAGGCAGTTTGATATGACGGTGAGATATGTTGATATGACAGTGAGGTAGTTTGATATTACGTTGAGGTAGTTTGATATGACGGTGAGGCAGTTTGATATGACGGTGAGGTAGTTTGATATGACGGTGAGGTAGTTTGATATGACGGTGAGGTAGTTTGATATGACGGTGAGGTAGTTTGATATGACGGTGAGGTAGTTTGATATGACGGTGAGGTAGTTTGATATGACGGTGAGGTAGTTTGATATGACGGTGAGGTTGTTTGATATGATGTTGAGGCAGTTTGATATGACAGTGAGGTAGTTTGATATGACAGTGAGGTAGTTTGATATGACAGTGAGGTAGTGTGATTTGACAGTGAGGTAGTTTGATATGACAGTGAGGTAGTTTGATATGACGGTGAGGTAGTTTGATATGACGGTGAGGTAGTTTGATCCAATATGACGGTGAGTTAGTTTGATATGACGGTGAGGTAGTTTGATATAACGGTGAGGTAGTTTGATCCAATATGACGGTGAGTTAGTTTGATATGACGGTGAGGTAGTTTGATATAACGGTGAGGTAGTTTGATATGACGGTGAGGCAGTTTGATATGACGGTGAGGTAGTTTGATATGACGGTGAGATAGGTTGATATGACGGTGAGGTAGTTTGATATAACGGTGAGGTAGTTTGATATGACGGTGAGGTAGTTTGATATGACGGTGAGGTAGTTTGATATGACGGTGAGGTAGTTTGATAAAACGGTGAGGTAGTTTGATATGACGGTGAGGTAGTTTGATATGACGGTGAGGTAGTTTGATATGACGGTGAGATAGTTTGATCCAATATGACGGTGAGGTATATTGATATGACGGTGAGGTAGTTTGATATGACGGTGAGGTAGTTTGATATGACGGTGAGGTAGTTTGATATGACGGTGAGGTAGTTTGATATGACGGTAAGGTAGTTTGATATGACGGTGAGATAGTTTGATCCAATATAACGGTGAGGTAGTTTGATATGACGGTGAGGAAGTTTGATATGACGGTGAGGTAGTTTGATATGACGGTGAGGTAGTTTGATATGACGGTGAGGTAGTTTGATATGACGGTAAGGTAGTTTGATATGACGGTGAGATAGTTTGATCCAATATAACGGTGAGGTAGTTTGATATGACGGTGAGGAAGTTTGATATGACGGTGAGGTAGTTTGATATGACGGTGAGGTAGTTTGATATGACGGTGAGGTAGTTTGATATGACGGTGAGGTAGTTTGATATGACGGTGAGGTAGGTTGATATGACGGTGAGGTAGTTTGATATGACGGTGAGGTAGGTTGAAGCCGATACAGCCGATGTCAACACGTCTTGCAGCCTACTTTCGTTTCCCCCACATATAATTTCCTATGTATATGTATATGAATACTGATCCAAATTGTATTCACATTTTTGTAAACCGGTTTTATTAAAATCAAAACTTGATGCTGTACAACTCAAAAGAAAACAAATGAAAATTTTACGAACCATTACGGGATACCAATTATTGTTTCTATTTCAGTTATGGCTTCTTCATTATTTTATTTATTTACATTATCTAATCACATACCTATGCTCCCTTCCTTACCAACATCATCTTTATAATAGCCTGTATATGTTTTGTTTCGTGTTGAAATGTTAAAACTTGTTTGTGTTAAACATTTTAATTTTCTTAGCCACTTTTTACTTTCTCGTATATACGTAGTATAGAGAAAGTATTGTAATCGTGCAAAAAAAAAAATCGAGATTTTTACAAATCTCGACGTTTTACACCTCACTGATACGGAAAAACATAATTTTGCAATCTTGTCCGTATGTCTGTGTGTGTGTGTGTGTCTGTGTGTCTGTCCGTGTGTAAACACGATAACTTGAGTACCGTTAGAGCTAGAATGATGAAATTTCATATTTAAGTATTTTATCAAAATCGTAGATCCGTATCAACTTTTGAGCGATTTCCGATAACCGGAAGTGGTACTTTTCCTACTTTGAATTTTCCAAAAGCCTATAACTTGAGTACTATTTCAGATAGATAAATGAAATTTCACATGTAAGTAAAAGATCTAATTCTCTACCTTCTGTTAAATTTTGAATAATTTCCGTTGACTGGAAGTTGTAATTTACGCTACTTCCGATTTCTCAAAAAACTAATGTAAATTTATTAAGTACTAATACTATTGCGCACTATTATACACACCTTTATTAGGCGTTCGCTTGGTGCGCAATTGTTTTTTACTGAGATTCTATTCTATTTTTAAAAGTTTAAGTATTTAAAATGGATTAAAAATCATAACTATATCCCCAGTTACCATCCACTGTTGTTTTATATAAGAATATTCGAGAAAGTTTAGGGGAGATCACTACCGGTTTATTGCTTACACATATGATGCTGTCATTTTTTACCTTCTCGTATATACGAAGTATAGAGAAAGTCTTATAATCGTGCAAAAATAAATCGAGATTTTTGCAAATCTCGACGTTTTACACCTCACTGATACGGAAAAACATAATTTTGCAATATTGTCCGTATGTCTGTGTGTCTGTATGTGTGTCTGTGTGTGTGTCTGTGTGTAAACACGATAACTTGAGTACCATTACAGCTAGGTTGATGAAATTTCATATACAAGTATTTTATCAAAATCGTAGATCCGTATCAACTTTTGAGCGATTTCTGATAAACGGAAGTGGTATTCTTTCTACTTTGAATTTTTCAAAAGCCTATAACTTGAGTACTATTTCAGATAGATAAATGAAATTTCACATGTAAGTAAAAGATCTAATTCTCTATCTTCTGTCAAATTTTGAGTAATTTCCGTTGCCCGGAAGTACTAATTTACGCTACTTCCGATTTCTCAAAAAACTAATGTAAATTTTTAAAGTACTAATAATATTGCGCATTATTATGCACTTTTTTATTTGGCGTTCACTTGGTGCGCAATTCTTTTTTCTATGAGATTCTATTCTATTTTAAAAAGTTTAAGTATTTAAAATGGATTAAAAATCATAACTATATCCCGAGTTCCTGTTGTTTTATATAAGAATATTCGAGAAAGTTTAGGGGAGATCACTCCCGGTTTATTTATTGAAGATACAAGTATTATAAAAAGAAATAAAAAAAATTAAAATAATGAAAGCAAGTTTAATAAAGAACAAAATTACTTCGCGCCCTTTCATGGAGAACATTTAAAAAACAGCGTCACTTCTTGAAGACATGATAATATCGTATGTTGCCTCAGCTTGCTCAACCAGATTCATTTTGTGACCGACATTTGAAGGCTTTCAACGCCAACCTACTACTTTCAGATACCCATAAGTCAAAGTTGACCAAAGAAAATAATAGCAAGGGTCTGTACTACGTGACCTATGGTCTTGTTGGTAAGTTGACACACTCTCCCTGTTACGGAACAATAAAACGCTGGACACAAACCGCTCCATCTACTTATGGACATTGACCTACTGGATGGTAACACTTAAAGAAATAACAATAACAATAACAACAACAACAATAATAATAATAATAATAATAATAATAATAATAATAATAATAATAATAATAATAATAACAATAACAATGATTATAATAATAATAACAACAACAACAGCAACAATAATAATAACGAGCCGACCCGCGGCGTATCATACGCCGCTATTTAGTTGATTTATTTTCTACTTTTCAGTAATTCATAATTTGTGAATTCGACAGTACCAATGCTGCCACTGAAAATATTTGCTTTAAAATACTAACCCCCCTCCTTTCCCCTAACCCCGACCCTACACCCCCCCCCCCCCCCCCGTGAAAGCAGCCTCCTCTTAGTTACCTCCTGTAAGTTTAAAGTCGGTTCAAACTAAATTATCTGCCCCTAATAACCGTCACTAAACCTGGCTGAACGGTTTGTAAACATTAACGTGACCACAGCTCAGCAGACCATGTGGGGGTGAGGTAGGGTGGTAGTGATAGTGATAGTGATAGAGAGAAAGAGAGGGGACTGTAAGGAGGCGCTTGCAGCTTGTTTTCTAACGGCTCGCAGAGGAGAATTATATATATAGATAATAACAATAACAGTAATAATAATAATAATAATAACAACAATAATAATAACAATAACAATAATGCTATAAATAAGAAGAAAATACAATCATTTATAAATGCATGCCTCAGAATGATCCTGTGAATTCGCTGGCCTAAAACCATCAGAAATGATGTTCTATGGCAGGGGTCGGCAACCTTTTGAAGTGGAAGAGCCAAAAGTTAAAATTTTCAAAATTTCCCTGGTTTTAAAGAGCCACTAACATTTTTTTTAATTCAAATATTTTATTTTTTTATTAAGATTATTAGTATTTGTTCAAGGAGCTGGAGAGCCGCATCTTGATATCAAAAGAGCCGCATGCGGCTCGCGAGCCGCAGGTTGCCGACCCCTGTTCTATGGCAATGGACAAATCAACTGCCAGCTGAAGTAGAGATCCTCCAGAGAAAATGGAAATAGATTGGCCACACACTCAGGAAGCCTGTATCCAGCATAACAAGACAGGCTCTCACCTGGAATTCACAAAGCAGGAGGAGGAGAGGCAGACCAAGAAAGACCTGGAGACGTGACCTGGAAGAAGACACCAAGAAGATTGGATACACCTGGGGACAGTTGGAGAGACTAGCCCAGGACAGAGACGTCTGGAAAGCTCTTGTCAGCGGCCTACGTCCCAGTAGGGACGACAGGCAAACCTAACCTAACCTAAAAATAATAATCATAACAAATAATAACCTAATAATAATAATAATAATAATAATAATAATAATAATAATAATAATAAATAATAATAATAATAATAATAATAATAATAATAATAATAATAATAATAATAATAATAATAATAAATAACAATAATAATAATAATAATAATAATAATAATAATAATAACAATAATTAATAATAATAATAATTAATTAATAATAATAATAATAACAATAATAATAATAATAATAATAATAATAATAATAATAATAATAAATAATAATAATAATAATAATAATAATAATAATAATAATAATAATAATAATAATAATAATAATAATAATAATAATAATAATAATAATAATAATAATAATAATAATAATAATAATAATAATAAATAACAATAATAATAATAATAATAATAATAATAATAATAATAACAATAATTAATAATAATAATAATTAATAATAATAATAATAATAATAATAATAATAATAAATAATAATAATAATAATAATAACAATGACAATAATGATAATAACAAAAAATAACCTAATAATAATAATAATAATAACAATAATAATAATAATAATAACAATAATAATAATAATAATAATAATAATAATAATAATTAATAATAATAATAATTAATAATTAATAATTAATAATTAATAATAATAATAATAGCGAGAAAAGTCCTAGAAATGAGGAAATAAAATTTTATACTTTTTCTATCAGATTATTGTAATTTAAAATATACCTAAGCACAAATAATCTTTACGTCAAGTAATGTTATTTACCAGTGGAGTTGAACAAAGAGCGGGCAACAACAACACATTTGATATGGGATATCTAAACGTGTTACCTTTGGTATGGGATATCTAAACGTGTTACCTTTGATATGGGATATCTAAACGTGTTACCTTTGTTATGGGATATCTAAATGTGTTACCTTTGATATGGGATATCTAAACGTGTTACATTTGGTATGGGATATCTAAAGTGTTACCTTTGATATGGGATATCTAAACGTGTTACCTTTGATATGGGATATCTAAACGTGTTACCTTTGATATGGGATATCTAAACGTGTTACCTTTGATATGGGATATCTAAACGTGTTACCTTTGATATGGGATATCTAAACGTGTTACCTTTGATATGGGATATCTAAACGTGTTACCTTTGATATGGGATATCTAAACGTTTTCTAAAGATTCTAAAGCTGGATAAAAACGCATTAGATTTTTAACAATAAGGAAGATGTGAAAGATTTAATGGTGAAAATATAGCTCATATCCACATAGGCACCAGTGGGGGTGGGGAGGAGTTTGTTCGTTTTATGCGGCATAGCAAACAGATTAGGAAGCGGTGTTGTGTAGAAGGAGTGTGCCCAAAAAAGGGGAAAGAAATTACAAAGCTAAAATTAAGACTCACGGTGAACAAGTTGTTTAATACTGTAATGCATATTCCCATGGTTCAGATTAATCTGAACTCGTAGTGTACAAAGCTGAATAAGGGTCTAAGTCACGGGTTCCCAACCTGGGGGTCGCGACCCCCAAGGGGGTCGCGAAGGTCTTCCTGGGGGGTCGCCAACTGGTATACTAAACCTTAGTAATTTAAAACAAAACATAAATATTTAGAAGAATTTTTGAAATTCGGCTTCATTAACATAACTGGAAATGTAATAGAGAAGAAACAAAGCGCACTGTACAAAGTTGTTCTCAGTCACGAGTCTATGAAATCTTCAAAACTAAAACGCCATTTGAGACGAGTCATTCGGAACACACAAAAAATATATGGAGTTCTTTCGTCGGTAAGAAGCGAATTGCAAACGCCAGAGACTTGATCGAACAGGAAGTTTTCACCAGCATTAGTGCAAGCATCAAATGAAGTCGCGATAGACAAGGCCAAACAAAAAAACAAAACAATAGGAGAAAATCTCATCAAACGCTGCATGTAAGTAACACATTTTTATCGAAATTAAGCTTTCACCATTGTTTGCTTTTCAAGTTGATAAATCAACAGACATGAGTTCGCGTTCGCAGTTGCTGGTCTGTGTCTATATTCATGCGGATTATAGCAAAGAAGAGTTGCTCTTTTGTGAAGATAGCATGGAGAAAATAAATACCTTTTTTGAAATTGGATGATTAAAATGGGTTAGAACGGCTGTGGGGGTTTGTACGGATGGTGCGCCATCTATGTTTAGCTCAAAATCGGGCTTTCAGAAAACAGAAAAGATTTAGCTCCCTAACCACTGCCCTAACCAATCTAGTATAAGTCGTAAATTATATAAAATCTGGAGCCTTCAAAGAACAAAGCAAAAACATTAATATAGATCACGAGATTCTGCTATTCTACACTACAATACGCTGGCTGTCAAACGAAATGTTGTAAATTGTGTTTTTAATTGAAATCTGAAATCAAATTGTTCTTGGAAGTGCAAAGGAAACAAGACTTTTTGGTATACTTAAAACGACATAGAGTTGTTGGAGAGAGTATCATACCTAGCAGATGTGTTCGAACATCAAGATAAGCTTAACCTGAAGCTTCAGGGAAAATGAACGAATATTACAACTTTCCATGATAATCTCGTGGCATTTTTATCAAAGCTGCAAAATCGGTAAAGAAAATAAATCTTGGAAATATTGTACATTTGAGAAACTCTGCGGTGTGGTAAATGAATCTGATTGTGAGATAATCAAAATTTTGAAAAAAAGCGATTTCTGGGCATCTAGAATCTCTTGAAAACGAACTGCATCGATATTTCTCTGAGCTGAAAAAAGAAGAATCTGCATTTACGCATTACCCATTCTCTTCTTCCCTTGATGTTGCCAGCATTCCCGATGAATTACAATATTAATTCTTTGATTTGCAGAATGATTCCGAGTAAGATGAAAAATTGCAGACACAATTTTGGTGTAGTATTCACCATTCATACCCAAACGTAAAATTTAATTGACTTTTCGAGAATATATTTTTAACACTATTCTTCGATTAAAAACAAAATTAAGATAATTATAATGACATAGGTTGGCGTTAACAAAATTTTTTTAAAATTAAAAACTTAACCACGAAGGTTTAGAGAATAGTATGCAATTTTACTCATGCTATTAAAATAGTTATCAAGAGTAGACCTAGTTCATATTGAAAGTCTACTAGAAAATCTTATTTTAGTGCTTATTAATTTCCATACTAATTTCGGCTTTTTAATTCTATGGGGGTCGCGGGTCACTTACTTTTTATAAAAGGGGGTCGCCACTCAAAAAAGGTTGGGAACCACTGGTCTAAGTAAAGGTGATCTACTATGTGATGTTATAATAACATAACTTGGATATTCACAGTATGTAAAAAAAGAAATAGCTGAAATTTAAACTGATTAAAAATTGTATACTATTTTAATGTAACAATACATTGCTGTTGGTGGTATTTCAATTTAACAATACATAGTTGTTTGTGCTATTTTAATGTAACAATACATAGCTGTTAGTGCTATTTCAGTATAACAAAATATAGCTGCTGCTGTAAAAAAAAAAGTAGCAATTGATTCACAATGATCATTGCTTACACTGGAAGATTTTTAGAAATCTCTGCCTGAACTGCTTAATCAATATGAAATACAAAAGGAAATTCAAAACTTGATTAATATTAGCAAAATTAATCAACCAATAAATATAGTTACAAAATATTAGTTCATACAAAAACAGGAACACAACAGGGCAATATAGCAACACAAAAACAATACAAACAGTTACCATTAAGGAAGTGAGCATAAGTTCAGTTTGTTTTGTTATTCTAGGTAAAGTGTGTCCAAATACCCATGCTTTTTGTTTTTTGTATGTGAACAGTTTCTTGATAACAGCAACGGTTAAAACAATGGTCAGAATAAAAGGAATTACAATAAAGTAAATCATAAAAATCGAGGTTTTTATGTTTTCAGATACTAAAAGAAAAAGTAGACTTATTTGGACGCCGAGGCAACTTGTTAATGAGGCCACAATGACAAAACAAAGCAATAAACAACAACGCTGATAAGACAAAATCATTGCTTTTTTAAAGGGACACAAAACAGCTATGAATCTCTCAAAACAAATCAGTACTGTTATCCAATTCGAAAGCATGGGGAAGTAGTACATGCCGCAAAAGTTGGTGAAATTTTCAAGCCATTCAAGATTTAAACTATTCGTAACATATATAATATTACTCATTAGCTTAAACACCGAGGCCATCCCGTCAGAGCCAGCAAGAGCCAACACAAACAAGGCCCCTGGGTTTTCGGCTCTTAGAGTCCATAAAGTGGCGGCGATGAAAATGTTGGCAGGTACACCGATGGCAGCGAGGACGACAGTTGAGACGCCTGCAGGGTCACCAAACAAACTCAGCTCACTGAATAACGGAGAGAAAAAAAATTAAATACATCATTAGAATAGATACGTTTGTGTTTTCCTTGTCGCGCTTTTTTCCGTAACATAATTTCAGTATTAAGCATAATATGCATTTCTTAAGGTTGATTTTTAAGGAATCCGCGATTAGCTTTTGAATAACGCCAAGAAGAATGTTTTACACTAACGAATGAGGCCAAACTGTTCAAAGTGATTGTTACGTATGTAAGATGATTTTCCTTGAAACATTTTGGCTCATAAATCATATAAGTTGTCTCGAAATTTCAGTAAATTGTATCTCAGTTACTGTGTAGTGAGATAGCTTGCCTGTAAAAAAGAATACGTGGTGGGGTCGAATAGTAGAGAACAGTGAAGCTGGTAGTCTAGAGTACGTGGTGGGGTCGATTGGTAGAGAATAGTGAAGCTTGTAGTCTAGAGTTCGTGGTGGGGTCCATTGGTAGAGAACAGTGAAGCTGGTAGTCTAGAGTTCGTGGTGGGGTCGATTGGTAGAGAATAGTGAAGCTGGTAGTCTAGAGTTCGTGGTGGGGTCCATTGGTAGAGAACAGTGAAGCTGGTAGTCTAGAGTTCGTGGTGGTGTCCATTGGTAGAGAATAGTGAAGCTGGTAGTCTAGAGTTCGTGGTGGGGTCGATTGGTAGAGAATAGTGAAGCTGGTAGTCTAGAGTTCGTGGTGGGGTCGAATGGTAGAGAACAGTGAAGCTGGTAGTCTAGAGTTCGTGGTGGGGTCGATTGGTAGAGAATAGTGAAGCTGGTAGTCTAGAGTTCGTGGTGGTGTCCATTGGTAGAGAATAGTGAAGCTGGTAGTCTAGAGTTCGTGGTGGTGTCCATTGGTAGAGAATAGTGAAGCTGGTAGTCTAGAGTTCGTGGTGGGGTCGATTGGTAGAGAATAGTGAAGCTGGTAGTCTAGAGTTCGTGGTGGGGTCGATTGGTAGAGAATAGTGAAGCTGGTAGTCTAGAGTTCGTGGTGGGGTCGATTGGTAGAGAATAGTGAAGCTGGTAGTCTAGAGTTCGTGGTGGGGTCGATTGGTAGAGAATAGTGAAGCTGGTAGTCTAGAGTTCGTGTTGGGGTCGATTGGTAGAGAATAGTGAAGCTGGTAGTCTAGAGTTCGTGGTGGGGTCGATTGGTAGAGAACAGTGAAGCTGGTAGTCTAGAGTTCGTGGTGGGGTCGATTGGTAGAGAATAGTGAAGCTGGTAGTCTAGAGTTCGTGGTGGGGTCGATTGGTAGAGAATAGTGAAGCTGGTAGTCTAGAGTTCGTGGTGGGGTCGAATGGTAGAGAATTGTGAAGCTGGTAGTCTAGAGTTCGTGGTGGTGTCCATTGGTAGAGAATAGTGAAGCTGGTAGTCTAGAGTTCGTGGTGGGGTCGATTGGTAGAGAATAGTGAAGCTGGTAGTCTAGAGTTCGTGGTGGGGTCGAATGGTAGAGAATAGTGAAGCTGGTAGTCTAGAGTTCGTGGTGGGGTCGATTGGTAGAGAATAGTGAAGCTGGTAGTCTAGAGTTCGTGGTGGGGTCGATTGGTAGAGAATAGTGAAGCTGGTAGTCTAGAGTTCGTGGTGGGGTCGATTGGTAGAGAATAGTGAAACTTGTAGTCTAGAGTTCGTGGTGGGGTCGATTGGTAGAGAATAGTGAAGCTGGTAGTCTAGAGTTCGTGGTGGGGTCGATTGGTAGAGAATAGTGAAGCTGGTAGTCAAGAGTTCGTGGTGGGGTCGATTGGTAGAGAATAGTGAAGCTGGTAGTCTAGAGTTCGTGGTGGGGTCCATTGGTAGAGAATAGTGAAGCTGGTAGTCTAGAGTTCGTGGTGGGGTCGAATGGTAGAGAATAGTGAAGCTGGTAGTCTAGAGTTCGTGGTGGGGTCGATTGGTAGAGAATAGTGAAACTTGTAGCCTAGAGTTCGTGGAGGGGTCGATTGGTAGAGAATAGTGAAGCTGGTAGTCTAGAGTTCGTGGTGGGGTCGATTGGTAGAGAATAGTGAAGCTGGTAGTCTAGAGTTCGTGGTGGGGTCCATTGGTAGAGAATAGTGAAGCTGGTAGTCTAGAGTTCGTGGTGGGGTCGAATGGTAGAGAATAGTGAAGCTGGTAGTCTAGAGTTCGTGGTGGGGTCCATTGGTAGAGAACAGTGAAGCTGGTAGTCTAGAGTTCGTGGTGGGGTCGAATGGTAGAGAATAGTGAAGCTGGTAGTCTAGAGTTCGTGGTGGGGTCCATTGGTAGAGAATAGTGAAGCTGGTAGTCTAGAGTTCGTGGTGGGGTCGAATGGTAGAGAACAGTGAAGCTGGTAGTCTAGAGTTCGTGGTGGGGTCGAATGGTAGAGAATAGTGAAGCTGGTAGTCTAGAGTTCGTGGTGGGGTCGAATGGTAGAGAATAGTGAAGCTGGTAGTCTAGAGTTCGTGGTGGGGTCGATTGGTAGAGAACAGTGAAGCTGGTAGTCTAGAGTTCGTGGTGGGGTCCATTGGTAGAGAACAGTGAAGCTGGTAGTCTAGAGTTCGTGGTGGGGTCGAATGGTAGAGAATAGTGAAGCTGGTAGTCTAGAGTTCGTGGTGGGGTCGATTGGTAGAGAATAGTGAAGCTTGTAGTCTAGAGTTGGTGATGGGGTCGATTGGTAGAGAATAGTGAAGCTGGTAGTCTAGAGTTCGTGGTGGGGTCCATTGGTAGAGAATAGTGAAGCTGGTAGTCTAGAGTTCGTGGTGGGGTCGATTGGTAGAGAATAGTGAAGCTGGTAGTCTAGAGTTCGTGGTGGGGTCGATTGGTAGAGAATAGTGAAACTTGTAGTCTAGAGTTCGTGGTGGGGTCGATTGGTAGAGAATAGTGAAGCTGGTAGTCTAGAGTTCGTGGTGGGGTCGATTGGTAGAGAATAGTGAAGCTGGTAGTCTAGAGTTCGTGGTGGGGTCGAATGGTAGAGAATAGTGAAGCTGGTAGTCTAGAGTTCGTGGTGGGGTCGAATGGTAGAGAATAGTGAAGCTGGTAGTCTAGAGTTCGTGGTGGGGTCGAATGGTAGAGAATAGTGAAGCTGGTAGTCTAGAGTTCGTGGTGGGGTCGAATGGTAGAGAATAGTGAAGCTGGTAGTCTAGAGTTCGTGGTGGGGTCCATTGGTAGAGAACAGTGAAGCTGGTAGTCTAGAGTTCGTGGTGGGGTCGAATGGTAGAGAACAGTGAAGCTGGAAATCTAGAGTTCGTGGTGGGGTCCATTGGTAGAGAACAGTGAAGCTGGTAGTCTAGAGTTCGTGGTGGGGTCGAATGGTAGAGAATAGTGAAGCTGGTAGTCTAGAGTTCGTGGTGGGGTCGATTGGTAGAGAATAGTGAAGCTTGTAGTCTAGAGTTGGTGATGGGGTCGATTGGTAGAGAATAGTGAAGCTGGTAGTCTAGAGTTCGTGGTGGGGTCGAATAGTAGAGAATAGTGAAGCTGGTAGTCTAGAGTTCGTGGTGGGGTCGAATGGTAGAGAATAGTGAAGCTGGTAGTCTAGAGTTCGTGGTGGGGTCGATTGGTAGAGAATAGTGAAGCTGGTAGTCTAGAGTTCGTGGTGGGGTCGATTGGTAGAGAATAGTGAAGCTGGTAGTCTAGAGTTCGTGGTGGGGTCGAATGGTAGAGAATAGTGAAGCTGGTAGTCTAGAGTTCGTGGTGGTGTCCATTGGTAGAGAATAGTGAAGCTGGTAGTCTAGAGTTCGTGGTGGAGTCGATTGGTAGAGAATAGTGAAGCTGGTAGTCTAGAGTTCGTGGTGGGGTCGAATGGTAGAGAATAGTGAAGCTGGTAGTCTAGAGTTCGTGGTGGGGTCGATTGGTAGAGAATAGTGAAGCTGGTAGTCTAGAGTTCGTGGTGGGGTCGATTGGTAGAGAATAGTGAAGCTGGTAGTCTAGAGTTCGTGGTGGGGTCGAATGGTAGAGAATAGTGAAGCTGGTAGTCTAGAGTTCGTGGTGGGGTCGAATGGTAGAGAATAGTGAAGCTGGTAGTCTAGAGTTCGTGGTGGGGTCCATTGGTAGAGAACAGTGAAGCTGGTAGTCTAGAGTTCGTGGTGGGGTCCATTGGTAGAGAACAGTGAAGCTGGTAGTCTAGAGTTCGTGGTGGGGTCGAATGGTAGAGAATAGTGAAGCTGGTAGTCTAAAGTTCGTGGTGGGGTCGATTGGTAGAGAATAGTGAAGCTTGTAGTCTAGAGTTGGTGATGGGGTCGATTGGTAGAGAATAGTGAAGCTGGTAGTCTAGAGTTCGTGGTGGGGTCGAATGGTAGAGAATAGTGAAGCTGGTAGTCTAGAGTTCGTGGTGGGGTCGAATGGTAGAGAATAGTGAAGCTGGTAGTCTAGAGTTCGTGGTGGGGTCGATTGGTAGAGAATAGTGAAGCTGGTAGTCTAGAGTTCGTGGTGGGGTCGATTGGTAGAGAATAGTGAAGCTGGTAGTCTAGAGTTCGTGGTGGGGTCGAATGGTAGAGAATAGTGAAGCTGGTAGTCTAGAGTTCGTGGTGGTGTCCATTGGTAGAGAATAGTGAAGCTGGTAGTCTAGAGTTCGTGGTGGGGTCGATTGGTAGAGAATAGTGAAGCTGGTAGTCTAGAGTTCGTGGTGGGGTCGAATGGTAGAGAATAGTGAAGCTGGTAGTCTAGAGTTCGTGGTGGGGTCGATTGGTAGAGAATAGTGAAGCTGGTAGTCTAGAGTTCGTGGTGGGGTCGATTGGTAGAGAATAGTGAAGCTGGTAGTCTAGAGTTCGTGGTGGGGTCGATTGGTAGAGAATAGTGAAACTTGTAGTCTAGAGTTCGTGGTGGGGTCGATTGGTAGAGAATAGTGAAGCTGGTAGTCTAGAGTTCGTGGTGGGGTCGATTGGTAGAGAATAGTGAAGCTGGTAGTCTAGAGTTCGTGGTGGGGTCGATTGGTAGAGAATAGTGAAGCTGGTAGTCTAGAGTTCGTGGTGGGGTCCATTGGTAGAGAATAGTGAAGCTGGTAGTCTAGAGTTCGTGGTGGGGTCGATTGGTAGAGAATAGTGAAGCTGGTAGTCTAGAGTTCGTGGTG